GACGGAGTGCCACAGGTAGAAATACCTCTGGCCAGGCCTGTTAGCTTTCCTTTGGAAAGTGGCTGCCTCTGGGACGTAAAAAATTGGTGGCAGCGGTGGGATCGCAATCGCTGCGATAAGACGTCTGACGCAACGTATCCGCTTCCCGAGGAACGAGCAGCATTACGTCATCCTCACACGCTCCAAACGCCGAGCGTGCATCGACTAAGGACAAACGGTGAGATCACTCTCCCTACTACTCGTACGCTGCGTGCACCTCAGCTGAACCTGGCGGGGGTTATCTCTTCCCCCGCTCCACGCGCACTCCTGACTCCGAGAGAACGTCCGCCGAACGGTCAGTCTAACGGTCAGTCTAACGCGACATACAGCACCGACATCACGCATTCAATGAATCGTTCCCAACGCAGAAGATCGTCAAAGGTTCATTCGCAACGCGACACCAACGCTTCTAACATTCGCGCGCCCCAAGGCGCACAGCCATCCAGAAGTGCGGACGAATTCTATCACAGAGTATTTTCCAGTGCACCAGAAACCACGTGATCTCGTGGATCCAACGTACCCGAACGAACGTGGGACGAAATAACTCGAGAAATTGAGGATCAGATTAGCTTCGTAGTCAAAGGTGAAATATCAGAAGCACGCGCGCCGCAAACTCAATACGCCGACAACGACAGACGCCGGACTCACGAACTCGCTCGACGATTTTTTAGCTTCGCTTTCCCAAATATTCGGTTCCCAGCTTTAAACAGACCGACAGACCAGACTGACGAACGAGTGCAAAGTGGATCGCGTTGACTTACAACCTTAACGTAAGCGCGTTGCACCTTAACGTCAACAGGTCACCCTCCTCATAAGTTTCAGACCCACTACTTGGCTCGTCATCATCGTCATCTGAGATTCTGTTCATCGTGCCAGACTCTGCACTGGGCAGAGATACCATCTTCTTTACTTCGTCACCCGTGCTGTCCTCAGTTATATTGCAATGCCCCGTCAGAAAAGATGTCAATCCTTGATTTCTGGTTTTCTTTCTACATCACCTTCACCGATTTCCCGTGAGAATCCGGAAAAAGGTACCAGCGACTTCGGAAACACAAACACCATATACATATACAACGCAAATAATGTCAGAACAGCGATCGCATCGTCTAGATAAATGGCTTAAAACGAATCCTAATGAAATCAAACGGTTTTTTGGACTAATTATATGGATAGGACTAGTGCGATTACCTAAAATTCATCTGTATTGGATTAGAGATGAAGGATATAACCAGACATTCCCACGTACAGTGATGTCAAGAAATCAATTTGGATTTCATTTTAGATCCATTTTAGTAATAACGAAGAAAATGACCATAATAATAGATTGTCTAAAATTATTCATATTATCGATATTTTAATAATACACAAGTATCTGAACTACACTCACTACGCACTGCAATACACCGGAGCTGTTGAGGCCGTTGCAATAAAATTAATTCCCTCTAACTTAATAGTGATATACGCCTACTGTCCTCCCGATGTCAGACTGACTAGCGACATTCTAAATAAACTCACCTCCCACCGTTCTCCATTCTTGATCGGTGGAGACTTGAATTCCAAAAACCAGCTATGAAATAATTTTAATAACAATAGAAACGGCAATGAACTTAAAAAACATTCTGAACTTGCCACTTATGACATACTATTTCCTAATGCATACAGCCACCTTGTCCCAAACCGCCAACCAGCCACTCTTGACTTCTTTCCTTCTGATTTAAACCATTACCTTACCTGCGCCACACTCGACAAACTCAGTTCCGATCATCTGCCAGTAATGCTCTCTCCAACTTCCAACACTAACCTAAAAACCACCACTTCCATCCCGGTCACTGACTGGGATGCGTACCGCAATCTCACGTTAAAGCGTCCCATATTCCATTCTACCTCATCTGCACAAGTCGTAGATCTCGCTATCAGATCTCTCACCAGGTCGCTCCGTAGATCGTTCTTTCAGGCTACCATTCTGGTGCCAATGTCTAATAAATTTACAGTAGCTGATTCTGAATTAAAGAATCTAATTGCCCTTCGAAACTCCGCTAGGAAGAAGTGGCAAAAAACAGGGAATTTTATTTACTCATTATATTGCAAAGACCTCACGGCACGGATCAAAAAGAAAATTATACAGCTCAAGTCCAAATTTATTACCGAATAAATTAAGAATGCAAAACCTAATGATCACAACTTTTGGTCTCTATATAAGAAAATCACTAAAAAGAAAAGAGTTATTCCTCCTCTGCAGGATAAACAGGGCAACCTGTTATCCTTAAATTCACGGAAAGTTCGGGTTCTTGCTAGTCACTTCGGTAGTGTCTTTGACCATGCCCATCGAATCACCTCCCTGCTCCAGCTGATGGTCAATCAGAAGCTTGAGAAATTTCACTACAGGGAGTTTTATAATCCGACAAAATTTGTAGACTTACCTAAGTACGCCTCCCCCAAGATCATTGCCGACCTTGTGGGAAAACTCAAAAGCAACACGGCGTGTGGAGGAGACAAGGTTTCGCCCTCGCTCCTTAAACACGCCTCCTTCAAAATTTTTATCCAAATTTATTACATTATTAGAGCAGCTCTTATTCATTGCTACATTCTTGCTCAATGGAAAGTGGCAAAAATGGTTCCTATTCCAAAACCTGGCAATGATCACAAGCTCTCTGATAGTTACAGGCCAATTAGTTTACTCCCGGTTTTATCTAAGATTTTCGAAAGAATTATTTGCAATATCATGAACGACCATATCAGTAAAAATAACATCCTGATTGATCATCAGTTCGGTTTCCGGAGATCCCACTCCACCGTGCAACAGCTCATCAGGGTAGCCCAGCACCATGCAAATAACATGAACACAAACCGATTCGCGGCTATGATTCTTCTGGACCTGCAGAAAGCCTTCGACTCGGTTTGGCAGAACGGCCTTTTATCCTTGTATTATTAAGCTCATTCACTGGTATATAACCAATCGTACTTTCTATGTACAACTCGGCCAGAACAAATCTCCTCCATTAAAAATTAAATCTGGAGTTCCTCAAGGCTCGGTGCTCGGCTCTCTGCTCTTCTTGATTTATATTAACGATCTTCCTGTCGCAACGAACACTTCTCTCGCCCTGTACGCTGACGATACGGTCATCTATTCGTATTCATGGTGCCACAACAATTTAGTGGTTAAGTTACAGAGTCACCTCACCCTCCTGCTCGAGTTTTTCGGTGATTGGAAATTGTCCCTGAATTGCGGAAAAACTAATAATTGCATCCCCTGGTCCACCAGGGTCACCTACCTAGGAGTCACCTTCGACTATAAACTTAACTGGGGTCCTGCCATCGCGGGAGGTGATATTCATTTTAAGGCTAAACTACCTCTAATTAGAAAATGTATTTCCCGCTTGGTAGATAATTATATTGTCAGCAACCATCCCAATCCTATGGTCAGGAACACCTGTACCTTCAGAGTCACCATCTCCCGTACAGTCCGAAGGTGAATTTCCCATTGGAATTGACCCAAGACGCTGCAATCGCGCTCTAGGTTTTTCTCCTCCCTCTGCTCTCTGACCAGCAGCGGC